TATTTTCTAGATCACACAAATTTCAATACATCGAAATAAATTTTGTATGAATAAGTTTATTTTTTTCTTGTAGGAGATTTTATATCTTTATATTTTTTATAAATATTTTTGTAGTGTTCATAACAATGTTTTTTTAAGTCCTACATCGATATATGTATATGTTCTAAGTCAATATCAGTATATGTATATGTGCGTGTTTGTATTTTACATCATTACGTGTAATAGTCTTAACATGAAAAAAAGCATATCTAATTTTCTCCCTAGAGATTTTACTGAATAGAAATAACTGAGTTTACACTTTTCTAAATTGAAACGCGTCTAACTCTGTCTGTCCTTTCTCGCGTCAGCAGAAATACATTACATTGACTACTCTAGTAGCACAAGTAGTATTTCTGTTCGATAGCTCCAAGTATTACCTATTTAAAAAATTAATTAATTACGTTTAAATTGACAATATCAAGTTAACTAATCATGATTCTGTCAAAGTAATTTTTATTATTTTTTCCAAATGTATGTTAAATGTATTGTTATTTATTTGTTTTTGTTTGCGATATTTTGCAAGGACATAACACTGAATTTCTCTATTTGACTAAAAGCAAAACATTATTATATTGTCCTCACAGTTGCGTAATACGTATTTTGAACGTCATTCAACATTAGACTCTATGACAACGACAGTTGCTTGTCATTGAAAGTATTATTGTTTGCTTTTATTCCTGCAATTCGCTATATACTCGTATGTTGCTTCATCTCTTAACGGATTCAATTATCAAGGCTCGTTTATTACTATTATTATTATAGTATATTTTTTTAATTTTTTATTAATACTAATAAGAATGAATTTTTTTTATATTCAGCACACATATAAACATTTAAATCATTAAAATAGTTATTTTGACATTCAATACAATTTTAATTAGTTAAACAAATATAATTTTTTATATATTTTGATAGTTAGTTTATTTATAAGTAAGCTAACTTTAGACATATATATTTTTGTAGCAATGCATACTGTATAGCATATTCACTTACTATAACTTTAATTATTGTATCCAGATATAAAGCATCAAATGATATATACATATATATATATATATATACAGCCTGTACATTTTTTATATTTTTCCACTTAACTTTTGCTTATGAATGGCCACACAATGGCCTGGAAAACACGTGGCCAGCAGTTGACTCTGAATTTGTCACAGCCAATTGGCTGGCCACGTGATTTCCGGGTTTACTTCACGTGCCTAACATCTAAATAGGGGCCAGTTTCTCATAGAAAGTCCTCTCGTCAGGCACTCCTTGACAGATCGCCCATGTATTGCATTACCTTATCCCATCAATCCAGTCCAATCAATGGATATGAATATAATTTTACGATTTAAGCAATTCCTAAAATGCATTTTTAAACGCCATTAAATATCTATTTTTATAAATAATAGTCTTAAGTAATAATATTCCTTCGTTGTTCCTTTGGATAAAGAAAGAGCAAGTGAATATCAATATCAATTTCAATATAACATGAAATCGGAAGTGAACATTATAGTAAATTATAACATATAAGTAGGAATACAATATTAAAGTAATAAAAATTATGCATTTTTATCTTGTTAGAATGAAAAGCAAAATTGAGCTAGTGACATTAGCTTATGTAGAAAGAAATTGGGAAAAAAACTGTATGTTATATAAACAGTGATTGTCGGACTAAATCAAACTGAATCAAGTTGGATCTACCGTAAGTGAGAACAGAACATAAGTGTAGATTCTCCTTAGGTCGAACACATAAATAAAACCAAAGGACAGGACTGGATTAGAAAGGAACAGAGCACTATTGTTTCTTATATAATACTCAAGAAATTTAAAGTAATTGCTACAGAAACGTTATATTTTATAATATCTAATTCTGTTGTAAATATAAAAAAATAATTAAATATTATTACATATTTTTTTTTTTTTTAAAAAGCTTCCAATTAATTTGTACTAAATGTCTTTTCTTAAATTTCATGCTTTTATATAATGGTTTATATAAACGAATTTCATAATTCTCTGTAAATAAAAATTTATAACCTTTTTCTAATGTTATATTAATTGAGAGAGCATTGACATCACTTAAATCATAATTATAATTTACTTAATTATGGCATTCATTATAAAAACAATGAATAGGTTACTGAATAATGTAAATAGATCGATTTTGTTTAAAGTAATTTAAATTATGAAACATCTACACAGTTTTACTAATTTAAAACAGTTTTTATTTTATTTTTTAACTTTTAAATAAACCTTTAGTTTATTGGCTTAATTTTATAACTGATATAAAAGTCAACGTCATTAATAATATATAAACACTATTCGTCGATAGGTAAGGAACGGTTCATTAATTATATGTACAGTTTAAGGGAGAGGAGGGTTCCGGATAGCATAGTTGCTCACAATGGAGAAGGGGTCGAGGCATAGTCTACGTGGACGTTCTTCAGCCGTATTAGTTACATATGAATTTGTGCGTATGAGCCTACTTACTAGTTATGTGAATAAGCTATTAGAAAATACTTATAGAACTTTTTAAAGTCATTTTTCAATGTCAGGAGAGTCTTGAACTATTCCACACGTAGTTAAAAGGAATGAGGTTTGTTAAAAAGTACATCGCTGTACACAGCAGGGGAGGGGTCAAAAGTGGCTGAAACACTGTAGGTTTTTACGTAATTAATGAACGAACCCAAAAGTAGTAAACTTAAGCTTATATTCCTACAGAGGAGGAACAAAGAGCAACGAGATATCATCATCCTGTCAATGGTTTAAAGGTTGCATGGTTAGATGATCTGGTTGACTAAATTCACTAATTTATCATTTACAATTTATTAAAATAATTACTTAAAGAATGAAATTAAAATCATCGTTTTAAAAACAGTTAAAATGATCATTTTATTAAAATTGGATTATTTTAAGATATATTCAAACAGAAAAAGTAGAAACATACGAAACGAATTTTATGGTTTAATTTTTAAATTTAACATGATTTTTATTAGTCAAAAATTTCATTTTCGAAAAGCGTTTACGTCAGTTGCCTTTGTTTCGTAAACAATGCAATTGGCGGGAAAAAGTCTTTGTTTACAGCTACTTAGGACAAGCAGATTCAAGGTAATAGGTTTCCAAATTCCAGGTAACGTATTACAAAGCCGTACTCAGCACCGGAGTAGATTCAGTTTCTACTCTTGCCTTTAGTTTTAAAAACAACGATGTTTTCAGAAATCCCACTCGAAATTCTCCTGAGCATTTAGCTAAAGCATTTATTTTTTAACGTTATCGGAAGGAAATGAAACTCTTCGCTTCCACGATCAAATTATTTATTTTTTCTGATTTAAAAAAATTGGCTTTCGCTCAGCTACTAAATATCAAAATTCAGTTAAAATGAATATGATAATAAAATATTAATTTCTAAAAAAAATAAAAAATGTTTAAGAACAATGTATTTTTTTTACAATAATAATATATATAGCTTGTTCGTGATTAAGAAAAATGCGTAATGTATTATTCAGTTTTTTGCATTGATCCAATATATATATTTTTTTTAATAAAAAAAATATTGATTTAAGCAAAAAGAATTAAATAAAATGAGAATAAATCTTGAAAACTGTCTTATAATTTATACTCACATTTTTAATTATTGACCATTGTAATTTAAAGTAGAAAGATGACAAAGCATAGTAACGTCGCTTCTGTCCACGTGATACGGAAGCTTTCCTTCACGTGGTTATTTCTGATGAGTGACGACATTGCATACGTAATAACATTATATTTTAAAATACACCAGTCATCGTCGAAACAATTATTAACAGCGTAACGTAAATTTATGCATTGTTTTGCAATCTCAATATCATATTCAGATTACTGTTATTAAATATTATGTCCTTCATACATTCGAATAAGAAAACAAGAGATATAGAGCTATATCATTTAAGTATTTATTAATAATAGATGATGTAGGAGAAGTTTTCGAACGTAACTGTGTAGAAAAGCATATCAAATACTTACATAAGCGATATTCTCCTTTGTTTCTCTTCTAATTTACACAATTAACTTACTCCATTAACAAAATTTAACAATTTATTTTATTTAAATTTACTATCAAATTACTCGTAAATTAATATTAAAAATGTATTAATTTGACTCAAATTACAGAATAATTAAAAATTATCTAAATTTGGATATAATAATATAATAAAGTTAAAGAATTTTGCGCAGTTTATTAATTAAATTAAATCCGAAACATATACTAAATTACAATTAAAATCTAACGATGATCAGTTTTCTATTGAGAATTAAGCAGGCCTACACTTAACAGTGGAGAAATACCATTCTATCGCATTAAAATCAATTATTTCTAAGTGGAAATGAAATTAGGTAGTTTTTTCCTTGGTAGATATGAGCTTGATAGAAAATTACAAAGAAAAAAGAAAAGAAAAAAAGCTAGGAAAGTTGAAAGACGAAGTTATATTGGAAAGTATGAACAGAAATCTATCTATCATGTAGTAGTTATTATGAAAAATAGTTAGCTTTTTATATACAGACATCGATCCTATTCACACAACGTACAGTACTTAAAAAAAAGGGTATAAAAAGTTTTAGAAACGTTTTACGTTGTTAAGATTTTATGTCATCTCTAATTAGGAATTATTTTATTCATAGAAAGCAATCGATTATCTATTGTCACTTTAATTTTTCGTTGTTTGTCTTCGCCCGCTTATTAAATGTGATTTAATAATTGACAAATTAAATAGGAACAAAAAATGGAACTTATTCCAGATTTTTATAAAACATTTACTTTATTTACTGGATGAAAATCAAACATTGAGCCTGAAAAAAATTAGTCTAAGGGTGAGGCGCATGAGCAAATTTTCCTCTTATGTGGGTCACTCGCGAGCACGCGCGCTCTCCCTGCACGCTTTCGAATTGGAATGCGCCAGAAAATCTATCATAGCGACGCGCGCGATGAGACGCCAGTCTATTGGAGGAGAAGAAAGAGGCGTAGCAGTGGCAACGGTCACGTGAGCGAGGAGTTGGCAGCTTATAAGGAAGGACGGGAGAGGTGTCACTCGGTGGTCGATGCCAATCTGGATTGTGCGGTCTTCGTGAACTGTCTGTAAATTTTCGAGCGGTACTACAGGAGGACGTCGCGCTGGGCGTACAGAGAGAGGACCGAAAGTGCAACCTTCTCCGTCAGCCAGGTCAGGGGTGTGTGGGGTAGAAGTGCTGGATACGTGTGCAGACGGCGAAGGGTGCCCCGGCAGTCCGTCTGTTAGTTCGTCCACCGACGTACAGGATATGCCCATTCTGATTCCCGACTACAATGTGCGGAACCTCCGCCCCGAAGAAATCCCCCTGTTACTGGATTTGGCCAAAGCCGAGGGCAGGCACATGGGCTTAGAAGCGGAGATAGAGACGTGGCTGGAGGTGGATCCGGAATGCTTCTTTGTAGCATGCTCCGATTCCGGTGAGTTCAGCGCGTTTTTCTCGCTTATCCTGCTTTAATTTTTTTTTACCTTGAGTGTCTGCGCGACTCTCTCGCTTTCTAAACCTCGGTTATGTCGAGAAATGGCCAGGACGGTTGGTGGTCATTCTCCGCACCGCATCCGGCCGACCAATGGTGGAGACGCTTTGTTTTGGCAGTTGGAAGTTCAAGGTCGCGATATCGTCTGCACAAGGATCGATCTCGGACCGCCATCTTGGTCGGGCCGGGAACCGGTCTATATTGACTGGTTCGGTGTGGCAGCCGCCGACACTTCTCATTTCTGGAGTGTAGAATTAGAAATCTTGAGGTAGTAGAGGTCGATTTGTCGATTTCAAACTCTCGAATCTTCCGAAGGCGTCTACTTCTCCAAAAAACGGGAAATGACGTCACCGGAACCGATTATCTTTGGCTATTTTTCGGAACCGTGACAGAAATAGGGCACGGAACCTCTTCCGTCGCGCCCGGCCTTATCGACCGGCTGCCCAACATCGTCACCCGCATTGCCGTAATGTAGTGCGGAGAAGTCGACCTCCCCGCTGGCCGGATGCCAAAATGGCGTCCGCGGTTAGTAGCTTTGGTCTTTATATATGACGAAAGCGCGAGTGAGAAGTTGACCCTATCTGACACCGTCTTATCGCTTTCTCTTCCGAGATTCAACGATAAAGCGGTGATACCATTCGAGTTATAAATTTGGGGATTGGGAGTCGGTGCATGCGCCATCACTCACCGTTTTGGCGCACGTACAACGCGTACCCCGAAAGAGAAAAACTTTAGAGTTAGGGACCCATTATCTTTGTCTCCTCTGAAAAAAGTATTATACAGAAATTTAGTAAAATTGATTTGGACATGTATTGGTCCTACTTTCTTCACAAACAGGTGTGTGATACATGACCCCATATCACACGATTCCAGATGGCCCAATCCCTGTCTTAGTGATCTTTCCCCCGTTGATCTCGCGGTGGACAAATACTGTTTATAGTGACGACTTCGGAGATCGAGAAAGAGTGAAAGAGAGAGGAAAGACAGAGACGTCACGGCACATCAAGATCCCTTAGAGACTGGCAAACACCATCTCTTTAAGCTTTTTAAAATTCCGTAAGCAAGACAGTTTCTTTGGTATTTATTTCTGATTTTTAATTAGTATCTCTTTCGAGCCCATTTAATTGTTTGCAATGACAGCTTCGTCCTCTTCCGGACAACACACTTCTGCCTTAGGCAGAGGGGATGACGAATCTACAAATTATTAGATGGGGTCGACTTTATTCCGGGCTTGCGAAGATCACAAAGTCTGTCCCCGAATGCTTTTAATAACGTTGGAAAAAATATTTGTTGGCACTCAAATCTTCGCAAACCCTGTTAAATTTTTAAGAGATTTGATTTAGCATCGTTAAATTGTGGAGAGGGGATGCAGCAAGAGGAGAGGATGACGCATATTTGGTTTCGTTTTAGGAGATATTCTGGGATCTTGTTGCGGAGTCCGTCTGAGCGAGGAGCATGGATACGTGGGCATGTACGTGGTCAAACCTGAGTACCGTTCTCTTGGAATTGGAAAGAAAGTATGGAATGCAGCCATCGAGCATCTTGGAGACCGAAACAAAGGGTTAAGTGCGGTGGATTCGTACTTTCCTCTCTATCGGGACAAGGCCGGCTTCAATGTGGTAGCCGACTGGACTGTGGACCTGTACAGATTAGAGAACGCGCACGAAATGGATCTGGACCTGGCTGATCTCTACTTGGACAGTAAATTAAGAATTTTGCCCATATCCGACGAAGAGCTAATTCGTGACGTCATAGCATACGATAAAGAGATTCATGTATATGATAGATCGAAAATTGTCAGGTTATCTCTCCTGGAAAGGGGCTGTATCAGTCGCGTGGCCCTACTAGGTGATACTGTTTGCGGTTACGGGTGTATTAAGCCAGGTTTACAGGGACTGTGGATCATCACTCCGTTATATGCCGATAGCGAGCACGTAGCTCACCTACTTCTATCGGAACTCATCGGCAGTTTATCGGAGGAGGAAAGAGAAAAGGGGTTCGCTCTGAAAGTGCCCAGCACCAACACTGCAGCGGCCGGTGTTATGAGCCATTTTGGCTTCTGCCGGCAGACGTATTCTCTGCGAAGATGCTATACACATTCTGTAGTAGACTTGCCCGTCAGCCGAATTTTCGCTCTTCAAACGTCTGTCTTCTGCACAGAATGAAACATGTACATAAATATATAAATATGTATACATGATATATATACATATATATATATATATATATCTATACACGCATTTCAGACATGCACATTGTATGTATCTTTCCTTTATAACGATCCCTTTTCCCGAGGCTTGTAAATGTCGGCGAAGAACCTCGAGGCTCTTTAATCTCGTTTCTACGTAGCCTTCACGCGGCATCGGCACGAAAATTTTACCATAGGAAAGAATTTAAAAACAGTTTCAATTTTTCGTTAAATTAGCGGAATCCTGGCATATATATATAATATATATATATAAAGAACAAAATTATTTTATTTCCTATGGTGCAATAGGGAGCAACCTCCAGTTTTGGTGCTGAATAGTAGATTATTGAACGTTTCTTCGTCCCAGTATCTGGGGTGCTAAAGTCTGTAATACGACCTCTAGGGTACTAAATCGAGACATTCCTTAAATCTTGTATATTTTATATTGTGTTTTCCACGATTTTTGCGGAAGAATATCCGAACGGAAGAGAATGTGGTAGAGTTAGTTTCGAAATTTTATTAGCTCTGCTCATTTTCGCTGTCTAGAGAAGAAAGCACCGTGTTCTTCTATATTTATCACGGTTATCATTCTTCAAAATAATTCTAAAAATAAAGCCGTTCCAATCAGAATGTAACAATTCGCGCCCGAAATAAAAACAAAACAAAAAAGTAAAAAAAATAATAATAATGATAATAATAATAATAATATTCGACCTGTCGTCACTTCTTCACTTTTGTTCTTACTTCTCCATCTTAAAAAATGAAATAACAAAAATATATAACAGTGAAAATAAAAGAAATTTCCATCTACTGAAACAATTTTGTGTTCAGTTTATTCTTCTATAGGGAGGATATTAAATGTTTGTTTTATGTTAGACGGTCTGAGCATAATTCGCGACGATCTGTAGTGAAATGTATCTGGACATATTCTACTCTCTTTAGTAAAAGAAAAAAAAGAAAAGAAAAAGAAAAAAAGGACCAGAAATTTAAAAAGAAACTAAAAATGTAAATGACTTTCAACAGTAATAATGTTTAATTATTGCAGATTAAGATCTAAACATAAACGCGTCATAAAACATTTCTATTTTTGATTAATGAGGATACTCTAATTGCATTCATAAATATAAAAAGTGGGAAAAATACAAAAAAAGTGTGCTTGAATTTTTCGAGATTAAATTAAACTTTTATCTTCATTTTTTTTAGGGAATGGATTTTTTTCATTCAAAACACGGGCTTTGGTGAGCATCTGCACCTCGGTTTCTAATGTAATAATTCATTAATAAAAAAAGGAAAATATTTTAATATGTAATAAATATGCATGATGAATAATGTAAATACAAAAATTATTATTTTTTATTATTATAGCAAAATGTAAATACATCAATTATTAATGAAATCATAGAAATATAAAAGAAATGAATTTATGTTTTATTTATTTTCTTCTAACAAGTAAGAAAAAGAATTAAACTTATTTTCCTGGTTAAAATAAAAGAATAAACATGTTTTTATTATTTTTTTTAATAATAATTTTCGGACTTGATACTTGTCAAACATCTTCATGCATCTTGATTTTTAGGATTATTAAACTTTAATGTCAAGCTTGAGTTTAGAAATTCATGCATAATTTAAATTTATGAATATAATTAAAGAATCCTCACTACTTAAAGGTTTAGTTTATCAAATTATTTAAAGTTTAAGAAAAACATTCGTTAAATTAATTTTACTAATGTATTTATTGAATTGCAAGAAAAAACAGTAAAACACGTGTGCAGTATCTCGAATAGGCGAATTTGATTAGAATCTTACCAGTTCGAGTGTATTAGATATGAAATTCTCACGATTCTCATATAAATTGAAACCGAACAAATTTCTAGAAGAATGGCGAAGGGTGGTCAAAGAAAAGTTTAGATAAACGAAAGCTATTATTATTGTAGACGTGGAAGCCGTAGCACCGAATGTCGTAAACATTGTATCTTCCGGAGAAAACTGCGCGATCGATAGTGGGAGACTCAATCGATAAGCGACTGCCGGCTGTCTAGTTGGATGTCCAGACACGAGCAGTCAATAACTCAGTCCAGAACCTTCTTCTCGCACCACCCTCCATCTTATTTTTCCTCAATGTTAATCTCCATTGATATAATTTAAAGTTTGTTTTGTAAGCCGAGTCTGTTTCTATTTCTTATATTTAAATCACGGCGGAAAACGCCTTTAATAAGAATTTAAAATTCCAATCCAGTTTTACAGAATCGCGCTTATGTCTACGTAATTGTTAATGTTTTTTTTTGTTTAAAATTTACTGATTTTTTATACGGTAATATTATAAGACAGAAAAGACGACATTCTAATATATAGGCCTATATATAATCTTTTACATTCGCTTTAAAGGGGGTGAAGATTTTCGATTTTCAGCTTGAATTGCAAGAAAATGAAAATTCTCACTATATTTTAAATCTCATTTCTTCAACTCGTCAATTTTGTCTTATTAATGAGAACTTACTAAGAGAGCGATTAATAATAATAATAAAATAACCATTGAATTATAATTTAGAATTTTAAGAATTAAAAATACAACTCTAGTCAATGCACGGTTAAAAAAACAATGGTTTTTAATGAGGCGAGAGACTGAAAACGTGTAAATAAAAATGGCGGCAGTTTAAAAGAAACGAAGATAATCGGCTTCCTCATTTTAATTTTCTGCTCATTTAACAACGTGCAATTGCCCTTTTGCTTTCGAGTCTGAATTCCATTTGCTATTTTTGTTGATGTTTACTAATCGTGGATTATTGTACTGTACATTGTTTCGATTATTCTGTACGTTCGCAAATGACGCGGTACGAATGTGATATGTTTCTCTTGATTCATTATTATTTTATTGTTTACAAAACATTCCTCTTGTTTGTTATTTCCATCGAAGTGTTTGCTAGTTGTTTGTCTTATTGTTTGTAACTTTAAAAAGACATGACTTACTTTTTAATTAAATTAAATATAGATCATTTTAATTCTTATTTTTTCCTTTTGCAAAACAGCAAAATTGGAATAAGTTTTATTGCATCAATAATAATTTCTTCGTTTGATGATAGAATTTCTTTTAAATTATATGAAAAATTTAAGTTTTATTATATATGATTTATTTTAATTTATTTTTCATTTCAAACATCTGTTTGCTATTAATTATAAATTATACAGAAGTTGCATCTGTGAAGTATTTATGAGAAATGAAATTTACTTTTTTCTATTAAAAAATAATAAAGTTTTATTATTTATCGTTACGTTTTTCTTTTGCTTCACCACTTTTTAATATTCTTTTAATCAATAAAGTAGTTTGCGATGTCGTGATGGGGAATTTTCTTCACCATTTTAAAGTAGTTAATATAGGCAAAAATAAATTGTGTGATATATAAAATTAAGATTTAAGATGAAACCTGAGTGTGATAGATAGACGACATCTATTAAATTGTATGTGTAGTCTATGCAGGAAACTGAGGATTTGTATCTGATATTTCTGGTTATAATCTATACAGTATGTAGATAATCATACAAGACATTAATTTCATAATTTTGCTATTAAGAACCGCGTTACTTTTTATATTTTCTAAATTAATTTATAATTCATCGACAAAGAAATGGTAGTTTCAGTTAAAGTAGGATTATATTATATACGTTATTAAAATGATTATAAATTTTTTATTTAAAACTTCTAATTTATTTCGCTGCAATTCTTCTATAAAGTTTAAAGTTTATCAAATATTAATTAATTAATTAATTAAAATACTTTTTAAAATATATGATTTTTGTTTTACTGCTTCTGGTCTGTGGGTACTAAAAAAGCTTCTTTTAGGACCATCGTGGGTTCGGCCATGCTCACGATTGCGAGGGATGGGTCCCAACATAACCGAGACGGACCACCCGAAAAAATTTCTGGGTTCCGTCTTTCGTTTGGATTCGAACCCGAGTCACTGGAGCTGGCTAAAGTTTTACGGTCTTGGCCACCGACCGGTCTTTTTTAGATATGAATAATTTATATAAAAAGTAAATAAAACAAACATCAACTCTAGATTTTTTTATTCAAAACGTACTTAACAATAAAAATTAAATGGGTAAGGTCGTTCTTTGAAAATTATTCTTGTTTAATCTTTTAAATGTGTTTGAATAAATTAAAATTAGAAAAATGCTTCTTATTTTTTTAACGAAAAATACGAACTTTATGACATAGTCAGCGTATTTGACAATAGAGTTTCGGGATTGTTTATATTTAAACTTTCATCAGAAATATCAAATTTAACATCAGAAAGATACGAACAATTTTAAGTTTCATTGAATACTGTATAAAATTGACACAAAATAATAATAATAATAATAATAATTAGATTGATATTGAGTAGGCTATTTAAAATATGAAATATTGTAAAAATGATTATTATTTAGGTGAATTTTTAATATATTAAATGACGTATTTGGAAAATTTACTAGTATTAGTAATATATGAAAATAAAAAAATCTCATTAATAGCATAAATGCCCGAAATTTTAATTTTTCAGGCATTAATGCTATATTTGGAGATTAAGGTACGTTTCAAAGATGAAACGATTCTTAGCTAGAAGTATCTTTGTAAAGTTTGTATAATATACAAAGACAATTTGGCATAAAAACATATGCTTCATAGTATTCAAGTAAAATTATTTAATAAGTTAACAGTGTCTTTCTTTCTGAGAAATAAATAAATGAAATAAATAAATATTTGATGAAAAGTTACATATATGGCTCTTGAAGAGGCATAAATGTAAATTAGGCTATAAGGCTGTAAATGTATACCTATTAACACACACACACACACACACACACACACACACACATATATATATATATATTATTCTCGATACATACCAATTGTAGTGACGCGAGATTAGTTTTAAACGCTAAAAAATTATTTGTTTATCAATTGTGATAACAAATTAAACAAAAAAACGTTAATACTTACGAAAAGTGAATATAGAAATTTCTGTATTGTCGTTTAATTGAATCTGCTTTCCTATGGTGATTTCCTTTAATGGAAAGAATAGCAGAGAAAAATTATTTTAAATGAAAGAATATTATAGGCGTGTATCCTAAAACTGCACAAATTTCGATGGCGTTTTTCGATAATTTCGAATAAGTGCATATATTCTTTCTAGAATATTCTTGATTCCATTTGTCGAAAGGATTTACGTAAATAACGTTCCGATTTAAAAATGAAAGTGAATTACATTTTTATAGAATTCATTTAATCCTATTTTATACCGAAAAATATAAAAATGGGAAATCTTATGCAGTTAAACATTTCTCTGCAATGGGAGTTCCACGACTCAAGGTGTATAGCATCATTTCAAAGGAGAAGAGCAAGGTGAACCTGCAAAAAGAAGAACGGGAAGTGACCGAAAGAGAGGAAAATGACAGAAAGGAAGAGGAACCAACTGGCGGAAGAAGCCTTAATAAAAGTTAGACAAACGTTTAGAAAATTTAAAAGAAAGTTCAAAATTTCAGACGAACATGTTCACTGGATTGTGAAGAAAATCAAGTAACTCAAGAAGCGAAAGTCTGATAAAAATACACGACGAAGCAACGTAAAACTCGAAAACCCTTTTGCGGAAGGTGCCTGATGGAGTCTCAAAGACATCAAACAATCTTCATATGGTTATGGACGCTTTTACTTTTGACGGAAATAAATGTGCTGGTAACAATCCCTATTTTACCGAATAAGGGCTAGATGTACTGTACATCCCGAAGACAAATTCGAACGACACGCCAAGCTTACGCTGAAGTTTCTAGTTTGG